GGTGATCCAAAGACACTTAATCACGAGATTTGGCTGTTGAGTAATTATCTAATCTACTAGTTTTAAAAACTTCGCCATACAAAATTACACTTATTAATCTCATCCCCGAGAAGATTTGAAGCTAATCTATTCGAAATCTCGGCTACTCTGATTTAGCGCCAGCTGTTTGTCAGTATGAAATTGATCACATTATAACAGCTGACACAAGAGGCAAAAATGTAAACAAACTATTTAAAGCAATGCATCTAAATTGAACTGGCAAACGACTTCCAAAGCGTCCATTATTTCCATTAAATGGAAAATATTTGAACAATACGTTTCAGTAATTTGTCCACTTAGGATCCAGCCAAAAATAGTATTTTTTGCCAGAAGTGTGTCCGAAATTTCTACATTCAGTATTATCAGTGGTATGAGATTGCTCTAATAGAATATCTACTTCAGCGGGGGTGTTGCAGCTGGGTTCTGCTAGCTGTGAAACCTTTCGGCAATGCTTGCTATTTATATGATAGCAGGGCATATTTGTTGATGCGGTGGGATTCTCATATCCGCTTGAGATATGGGCTTATGGGGTAGATATTATCAGTTTTGAACTACTTTTCGCCCATTCTCTTAACTTTAAAGTTGGCTTGTTTGTTGGCGATTGCAGTATTTTGTACCCTAGACTATAAATGATTGTTGTGATCTTTGGTCCATTAAGGCCCTAAGTTTAAACAGTTCTTTCTGTGTTCGATGGAAACGACTGATGTGGGTAGTAGTACCTATTTTGAATATTGTTGTTTAGCGTTTGAGTTTTTAATGCCTTTAAGCACATTGTGCTTCATGCCAATTTTTGGCGTAAGCCGATAATTTGAAATTTTCGGGTATCTGAATCGTCAGATTCTATTATTGCGTCATATGAAGCTTGGAGAGTGTTCAAAAATTGTTAAGATTTTCTTTTGATTTCGAATACCGATTTAGAGTTGTCTGAATCGGTGAAGATGAGAATCTAGTGCAGTATCTTATTTTACTAAATAAAGATTTTCTGAGTGTGCACTGATAATGATTCAAAATATAATATTTCCCAATATGTATGTACATGTATGTTTGAAATAAAACTCTTTTAACCATTCAAGACGTAGCAAACACATGTCACAAGTACAATCGCACTACTTCAGCTGATTCTCAACACATGTACATTCACTGTCATTTCTAATTGAATAGGGACTTCTAAAGTTAGAAAAATAAAATCTCGATATTCAACTATAGAAATATTAACAAGTTAAAAGAGAAGGAAATAAACAATTTAAAAAGATAAAATTTCGCGTTTCAACAGGTCATATCTTTTTGATAATTATTTAAATGAAAAATAATTTAAATATCTTCATAGATAAAACACTAAGGCGAAGCAGAAACCAATCACCAAAATAGTGCTAGGACCTGTTACGTGCCTCTGGGACCACAACTGACACATCAGATCGATTATGATCAATCTGCTGATGAATATGACGACTAAGAAGATGATTATGATCACTAGCTTATATGTTGTGTGGTGAGCAGCGTCGTGTTGGCCAACTATTTGGTGATTTTTATACGAATTTAAGTAATTGTTTATAAGATTGTATTGTTAGATGTACTTTACTTAGTGCTAATACTATATTTAAACTATATATGTATATAAATTAATTATATATGTATGTCATATGTATTCATTAATTTTAATATTTGGTTTAAGTAAACATTTCTATAATTAAATAAACAAAATAATAGAAAAATATGGTGTTTTATTAAAAGAAATTGAAAAACTATGGTAACAAAAAGATACCAAAATGCTATATGCATTTGTTAGAGGTAAGATGGATAACCAACAGGAACACGTCGATGAAGATATAATAACATATGGTTGTTAGGTAACAAATGCGAGATGTTTATATGTTACAGGTAACAAATTAAACGAAAACAATAGCCCTTACTGTTATTGATACTGTTGTTATGAGTAACAAATAGCTAACACATGTAAACATACTAACACATAGCAGTGAATAGATTCAGTAACCAATATATGCCATCTGCTGGCAAAACAAAACCGTACCTTATTGGTCGAGGCATAAGAAGAGACAACTTTCCATAATTGTAATGGGATAGAGCGAGAAAGACATTGAACATCCAAGGGTAATAAGTTACTAAGAATTTTAAATTAATTAAATGACTAAAATACGCGTATTTCTTATTTATTGATACCGTTCAGATCTCATAATAATAATTAAAACCCCAAATGTTTTTAAATATATTTTGTGTCCCAAGGGTATACTTATAAACGGATCTGTTTATATGGACCTTATTTATGTGCTTGTGTTAGAGATCATGCACTTTGCATATATATAAGGAAAGGTTTGTGCTTAAATTTTTGAATACAAATACTTTACCGCTACATTATTTATTAGCGTTTATAATTTGTGAATTTTACGATCTTTGTTTTTTTTTGGATAATTATTTTAATAATTTAATAACATCCAGTATAGGAAAAGAGGGAGGAAGCAGATTCTATGTATGTATCGTATGTATCAATTTCGCTTATTTCTGTAAAGTAGGAATTAATAATGAAAATGTATGTAAATTTGAACTTTTATATGTAGCTAATAATTGTTGTACATACATCAAATGTAATATTTATGCGCCAACTAAATAAATGTACATCTGTTTGTTTGTTTTTATCTATTTTCCTCGTTTTTTGTTTTATGCCATATTTTCTATTCGTAATTTATTATCTCGCTAATCTACTAGTTTTAGCAAAACTTCGCCATACAAAAATTACACTTACTAATCTCATCCCCGAGAAGATTTGAAGCTAATCTATGAAATCTCCTTGTACTCTGATTTAGCGCCAACTGTTTGTCAGTATGGAAATTGATCACATTATCAGCTGACACAAGAGGCAAAAATGTAAACAAACTATTTAAAGCAATGCATCTAAATTGAACTGGCAAACGACTTCCTAAAAGCGTCCATTATTTCCATTAAATGGAAAATATTTGAAGCAATACGACTTTTATTACAAAGTATGACATTACAAAGTTTTCGTTTAATATTATAGTTTATTAGTATATATAACAGTTTCTGGCTTTTCCTGTAAATTAAAGCCGTTGCGTTAACTTTGTAACGCCACAAGGGGTTTTTGAGAAAATTTAATGCATTTATGGACGTTGTAGTCGCCAATTCTTCATTCTCGTGTCCTGAGGGCTAGATTTCGTGCCCAGTTGTGTTGTTTTTGTGTGTTAGATATAGGATATATAATATATTAGGTCAAGTAAAAAGTTCATTCGGTTTTTTTTTATTGAATTTTCAAAAGATGATAACGTTGTGTACATTTGTCCAATTTAAGTCAAATATAAGGTGGGTGCATTAGGACCTCCCATCCGAGCTCCCGGAGCTTCTGGCGCGTCACCAAACACGTGTGTGGCCTGGCGTTGTCCTGATGGAACACAATTCGGCCTCTGTTGATCAAAGATGGCCTCTTCTGGATGAGTGCTTCCTTCAAGCGGTCCAGTTGTTGGCAGTAGAGGGCCGAATTGAGCGTTTGGCCATAGGGGAGCAGCTCGGTCTTGGCCACCGTCTGGGCCGCTTCCCCGAGCTTTCACCACGACCGTTTGCGTTCGATGTTGTCGTAAGTGACCAATTTTTCATCGCCAGTCAAAATCCGCTTCAGAAACGGGTCGATTTTGTTGCGATTCATCAGCGATTCGCAGATGGAAATTCGGTCCATCATGTTTTTTGCGTTAGTTCGTGTGGCACCCAAATATCGAGCTTTTGAATCCAAGGTTATGCAAATAGTTTCAAACGGTTTTCTGGCTTATCTTTAGTTCCTCAGCAATTAAATAAGTGCTCACATGACGGTCTGTTTCCACTATTTCCATGATTTTATCGCAATTTTCGACGACAGGCCTCCCGACGCGTGGTGCATCTTGGACATCGAAATTACCGGAACGGAACCCAGCAAACCACTTTTGTGCTACACATACGTTTACAGTATCGGGCCCATAAACTACAATAAATTAATTTTTTTCAGCCGCTTTGGCTGCTTTTTCGCCTTGATCGAATAAAAATTGTAAAATATTGCGAGTTTTCTCTTTGCTGGTGTCCATCTTTGACGAGCGCTCACAACGAACTCAGTCAATCAATCGAAAAACTGTCAAAGACAAACTTTTGGCGCGAATAAACACGTTTCCAGCGCCGCATAGTATTACGAACAAACTTTTTACTTGACCTAATATATATTTCAACTCGTCTCTTATTATAAATGCTGAAAATGAAGAGACGAGTTGAAATTCGGGTGACTGTCTGTCCGTCCGACTGTGCAAGCTATAACCTGAGTAAAAATTGAGATATCTTTATGAAATTTGGTACACATGTTTCTTGGTACCGTAAGACGATTGGTATTGCAGATGGGCGTAATCGGACAACTGCCACATCCATAAAACGCGATTAATCAAAAACAAATAAATTGCCATAACTAAGCTCTACAATAAGATACAAGACTGTTATTTGGTATACAGGGAGGGGCAATCTGCAGTTAAATTTTTTTTTTTAAAAAGTAATCTCATACCATCCCAGAGATCAAATTTAATGTCTCTGGTGTGTTTAGTGTTTGATTTATTGCGATTTTAGTAGTTTTTAACAGTACCGTTATATGGAGAGTGGGAGGGGTTGTAACCCTGTCGGGGTTGTAACACTGTCGATAAAGGTGTTAAAAACATTTGTTCTCAGTGAATTTAGTCAATTTTTAAAAAATTCAATTCTTACAAAAATACCAGTCAAATTGACATAGTACGAACTGTATTTTTAAGAACGGTGCTTAAAAATGCCAAACTAAACTAAAAACTTGTTGTCTTCTTCCGAAAAATAACAGTAAATGTACTAATGTTGGCGTGCATAACTGAACGCATGAGTTTCGTTTGGTTTTTTATGAAATTATTGGTTTATCTTAGTTAGTTTAGAACTTTACGTTTAAAGAAATAAATACACAATTAAAATTACAAATTTTAAGCAAATTACATAATTATTTACTTTTTTATAGCATCTTACGTTGAATTTTGACAAGCATCCGACCACTGTATGTTCTTGATGTCTCTATTTTCTACTAGGGTCGGCCAATAAAAAATACAATTTATTAACAATGTTATTACTATTTAAATTTTGTTGAAGAATTTGAACAAAACTAAAGAAAGTTGTCGAAAACAATTTACAAAAAAAAAATAAAATTTATAATTTGTTCTCATGCAAAATCATTTTTTGTTTCTGGTTTTGGCTTAATTCTTCCTTGAATGAACAATCGAATCAAATCGCCCTATTTGAATTTGTCGTCATATGTGGCCACGTATGCACCTGCAAAAGGATGCCAAACTAATTAGTATATAATATTGATGAATTTTTTTAATGAAATCTTTTCAACAAAGAAATTATTTTGTCTTCTGCTGCGTACATTTGTTCTTCAGGTGATATCGGAAAAGTTATCGGCATAGGAATCAGCAATTTCCTAGATCAACATCTTGTTCAGAAGAAATTCAACATTCTGACGCAATTTATCGCGTTGATCCTTCAATTGATCGCAGTTATTATTCAATGAATCGCCTTCAATTTTCAGTTGATTGCGTTCATTCCTTAATAAAGCCACAATTTCGACAATGTGACTTTGCACAACATCTTTCTGCCGTCGTAAATTATCGAACAAATTCCTATCCTCTGCCATCACAAAATCAAATCAATCGAAATGAACGAATGAAAAAATTGAAAAACATTTTAACTGAATTAAATGTTAAATGATAAAAAAGTATAATAATAATTCTATATTTTATATTAAAAAGTTCTCAAAAATTCAGTGTAAACAATATTTTTAAACACCCTTTCATAATTAGCCAAATGACCTTGCCCACCATCATTACTGACATAAAATTTCAGCCCGTCAAATGATTTAACTCTACTGGCTGCAACGTAAAGTTGACCATGCGAAAAAACAGGTCTCCTCAACAATTTCCAACTCTATCAAATGTCTTTCCTGAGGATTTGTTAATAATTGTGTGTTAATAGTAGAATATAGACTTTACCCTTATGACAACACATAGTGAAGGAATGTGTGTCACGCATTATAGGAACACAACAATATTTTTTTTTGGTTTTTTGTTAGAGTAATTATATACATATAGATTTGCCAGCGCTTTTGACAATTGATATTGTAACAATGGTTGCCATTTGGGCCAAATGTACCAATTTATGTACTACATTTGCATACAAAATTTTATACATATGTTTATGACTAGTAAGAATAGTTAAAATGTATAATATTTTAAATATTTGATATATGCAGAAAATTTACAAATTGTGAATTATAATATAACACTTAAATTATTACATATGTTTTGTTTCATTTTGTTTGATCCAGCAAATATTAAATGAATGACAACCGTATTTCTTGTTTCTTTTCTTCAACTTACGAAACAGCTGATTGTTTTGACACTCAAAGTAAATCAAGTGAAAGGAAGCAAGTAAAGTCAACCAACATTGGGCCAGGGCCGTAAGGTTGATGTCAGAGTGGGAGCGAGAAGCGATATGAGTGTTGAAGCGATAACAGTTCATACGAGCGATGGATTCAACCGAAGAGTTTTTTATTCCGAATCGTGGGTTTGACATTAAAAAAAAGGAAACATCCAATTAACCAACACAGGAATATAAAAAGTGAATTTAACACCTTATATTTAGAACTGCGCCAATATCCGGACAAATTTTATAACTACGCATAAAAGTCACTATCGACATTCGACTATATCCTTAATAAAAATTGCACCAGGACTTTAAGAGAATTGGTCTATTTTTATTAAGTGCACCATTACGCAGTGTGCGAAATTAATAATAACTTTCAACTTCAGGTGACTATTCAAACAATTTTTTTCAAGTGGGCATACATAATAATTGATTGTTTGAATAGCATTTACCGCATCCACATCGACTTGGGCCGAATTCGGACTGATTGGTGATGAAGCTTTTCTCACAATATTGGACGCAAACAAATTTCATTAATTAGTGTTTCTACATCAATGTCCACCGTTCACTTCAACTAACTATTTCCAGAAAAAATCAAGACATGTGCTTGCGCTTCAAAATATTCCACTAAAAATGAAATTTATATAAATATATACATACATATAATACAAAAAACAATAAAATGCGAAACAGCAAATAAGAAAACACTAATTACTAATAATAGGAACGAGAGTTCAAGCGAGAAACCACTGTACCACCTGCTTTCTCGCTTCGGCCTCTAGAAGTCGCTTTGGAGCTCGTTCTCACTCTGACAACTTTGAAACCAAAAAAAATATAAGCAAGGGCTAAGTTCGGGTATAACCGAACATTTTATACTCTTGCAACTTGCCGCGCTGCCGGGGAAATACTTTCAGGTGTTGGAAACTTGATTTTAAAAATGTTGTGAAGGAATTCAACATTCATTGTTCGATGATGTGGAAAACGTCAAACAAAGGATCGGAATTCATTACATTACCTAGGGATATGAGGTTTGGACAAAGGTCTAAACTAATTTCATTCTTATTAAGCGCTAAACCGCATACTTTTTAAGAAAACTTGTCCACTTAATTTCACTAAAATATCACACATTTTGTCCAACCTAAATGGTTTAAAGACAGGTGGCAATTCGGAGTCGTAGGGAGTCCACTGAGCGAGTGAGCCGCGCTGCACTTTTTTTCTTGACATTGACACCTCTCCCGCGCCCCAACAACGTCTACATCGCTTACTATGTAGCAGACTAGCCGAGCGAGTCGCCGCTTACCACTTGATTTTTTTCTTATACTTTAATTTTTTATCTTTCGAACGGAATGTCCGAATCGAACTACTCGAAAAGTTATTTAAAGGTATTGAATCTTGAGCTTGAATTGAATTGCGTCTTGAATATGAAGTAATTTATTTTGATCAAGATTAATACCAAGGAACAAATAAAGAGCTTTTACAGAGGCGGCATTTTAATTTTTTTTTATTAAAAGAATTGTACATATTTTCGGCATTAAACTATAGTTCACCTAATATTATATTAAAAGATATCTAACATACTGACCAATATAACGGTATAAAGCCAGCCGGAAGTTTGAAAATCTTATGTAAGGAATATGGGAGTTCGGAGTAGGATTTACCTGATTTTATCTATTTTTGGCATTACTACATATAATATTATTTAAAGAAGGTACCCCTCATAACATCACCAATATATAAGGAGTAAATTCAACTAGATATCCAAAATTCTGATATTAGTTATAAAGCGGATAGAGCAAGTTTTCACCCGAGTTTATCTACTTTTGGCACAAAAATGCACCGCTGTGTTGAAAACACGCTTTCTCAAATTTATTAAGGTAACTCGAATATTTGCCGATATTGGGGTATAAAGTCAGCCCGAAATTCGAAAATCTTTCTATTAGGTATATGTGGGCTAAGGGATTATTGATCCGATTCAACCCATTTTCTACAACATATATATATCACAGACTGACCGATATTTTCGATAAAAAGTTGGAACTGGGGTCCACATATTCGGTATCTGGCGGCTTGAATAGTTTTGGTCAAATTTGGACACATTTTAGTCATAAGGTGACACGCATCAAAGACACCATTCGTACAAAGATTTACCCGGATATATTGATTGGTTCTTGATTTGTATACTAGAAAATGAAAGAGATGGAATTTAAAATTGTGTTATATAGGAAGTACTTGCAGGTGTGGTTTTTGTTCCCATTTTTACACTGTAAAGTAGGAATGTCAGGATATTATTATCTACCGAATTTGGTTAAAATTGGTAAAGTAAGTCCCAAAATGTGGGCTTTCACTTAAATGTGGGCAGTGCCACAACTATCGGCCACGCTCACTTTAAAAAAATTGTTCAACCATTGATGCTTCCTAATGCAATTCGCTGTACTAAATAGTCATTTATATACACCAAGTTTACCGGTATTAATTGAAATGTTTTTTGTAAAAATTAAATACTAATTTTAAATGGGAAAGTAAAAAACAAGGATATCATGACAGTGGAAATGTTCGTCTCCTGAAGCAAACCATTCAAACACCCAATTTTCGACTTCTGCGTAGGAATCGTAGGAAGACCGAAGAATGTGTTACCCGACGGTCCATTGACCCTGACGGAATAAGCATGCTGATGCTAAAACACCTAGGCCAGGTGTTTTACAGAAAATCTGAACGCTGTAGAATTATGATGTATAAAAAGGGATTATTGAAATCAGCTGAACTGCTATACGGCAAACATAACCATTATTGAATACTGCAATAACACAATGATCCGAAACATAGGAGCAGACTTTGTATTCAATGAAAACCCGTCAGAAGCATTCAATTTGACAGTAAATCTGGAAAAAAAAATTTTAATTTAAAAAAATAGGCGTAAGCTTTCTCTTAAGTGAAATCTCATATATCATGATCTAACAAATCAACTTCAATCACATTTGCTGTTAAACATTATTCTAATATTCTTTGTTATGGAGTGAAAATTGCCGAAATCGGCCAACTACCGCGGTAATTGCTCATATAGCACAATTTTTAATTCCATCTGATTCTTTCACTTCACATTATATAAATCGAAAAAAAAACTTTGGAAACTGTTCAATTTTTTAACTTTGTTCTCACCTCACCTTTTTTTTTACAAAACGCTCACGTATTTGTAAAAATTCCCAAATTAAATGAAAGCTAGAAGAAATTATTTTTTCTGTCGCAAACGTTATAATTAACTTTACTTAAATTTCGCAAAGATTATAACTCCACTTGTATAACAGAATTTTTTGAAATAAAACCGAAATAGGCGGACGACCGTGCAAAAAAGCGGAACTTCAACGTCTTCTCTGCTATCGCTGCCGAGAAATACAAAAAGACCGGCGCGATCGCCGTCCCTCCTTTTGTTAATGTTGGTGTGTAGAGTAAGGTTGCCTTGGTGTGTGGTGTGTGGGTGTACCGATGTTTCCTGATGTAGTGCGCCAGTGTTGTCTTGTGAGTGGTGTGTTGTGTGTTGTTGTTGAATGCATAAGGGCGGGAAGCTTAACTCATTTAGCCATCCCGGCTACCCTAGGTTGCCACAACGTTGCTGAGGCCTGTCCTGCAGCGTATCTGCGGCCTTAAGGGTTGGGCATTGAGTTGACGCTAAGTACGAGCGCGAGTGTTTGTCGTCGACGGGATCGGGGTACGGAGGGCCGTGCGACAGGGCGTCTTGGGTTTCTGTGCGGCAAGCTATGATGCGGCCTGTCGCAGTGTTGGCGCACGATATCGGACACGCATTCCTGCGTGTGATGCGTCTGGGCCAAACAATTCAAACAATGCCCATGTGCGTGGGCTACCTGCTAGCGTTGATTGGGTGTCATATTCTTAAAAATGGGGCAGTGCTGCAGCCACTGTGAACGGCTATAAAGCGGGAATCGGAAGCGGGTGTGGTTGTTCGAGGCGCTGTTACGGGGAGAGAAAAGGACGAGTTTAGTTACGACTTAATGATATAGATTATGGATATCCTTTTATATTTAACCAATTTTATTTTAGTTGTTGGGGTCGTATTAGTCCACCTATTATTGTATTAATATATATAAGTACATATATTGTGATTTATCATACAATGTTTGCGGTTTCTTTCGGTTTTAGGTTATTAGACGGATGTTTTGATTTCTGATGTAGATATTATTGTACGGATGTTTTATTACTTGCATTTTCGCTATTATCTGCGATTGGTAGGAAGCATAGT